CAATGATTGTGAGGTTGGCCCTGGACCAGGCAGTGTTTCATTCTGTTGTGCATAGGGTCGCTGTAAGTTTGTACTGATGACAACAGTATTCCATGGAATTTCCATCTGTGACCTTTTGGAAGCAGATCACCAGGCATTTCTTCTAAGGTGCCCCTGGGTGGGTTTGAACAGTCAACCTTTGGGTTAGTAGTTGAACACTTTACCATTTACACCACCCAAGGACTCTTTATGTTGTTGCTGTTGTTTTTAGGTGCCATCCAGTCAGTTCCGATTCATAGCGACCCTATGTACAACAGAATGAAATACTGTCTCGTACTGCACTGTGCTCACAATTATTATGTTTGAGCCCGGTGTTGCTGTAACTATGTAAATCCATCTTGATGGGGGTCTTCCTCTTTTTCATTGACCCTCCACTTTACCAAGCATGTGTCCTTTTCCAGGGACTGGTTCCCCCTGACAACGTGTCCAAAATATGAGAGATGAAGTCTCACCAACCTTCCTTCTAAAGAGCAATCCACAGTACGTCTTCCAAAACAGATTTGTTCATTTTCTGGCTATCTATGGTATTCCAGTATTCTTTGCCAACACCCTAATTCAAGTGCATCATTTCTTCTCTGGTCTTAAATGTTATTGTTGTATGCCATGGAGTCACTTATTAGTGAGCCTGTATAGGATTTCTGAGGCTACAAATATTTACAGGAGAAGAAAACCTCATCTGTCTCCCATGGAGCAGCTGATGGATTCAAACTGCTGGCCTTGTGGTTAGCAACCCAGTGCATAACCCACTATGCCACCAGCGCCCCTTCTGGCCATATATAGACTTACTTTTTTGTCTCTGCTCACTTGCATAAGAGCAATGACTTTGCTCTGCTCGTGGCTGTATCCCAGTGCCAACGTAGTACCCAGCACAAGGCATGTGGTTGTTGCACGAGACATGCTTAGTGAATGAATGAAGAGGCCAAAATCAAATATCTTCTGGCAAGCTTGGCCCATATGAGTCATCCAGATACTTACTGAATGTGGGATCACCTGCGCTGCATACCCTGCCATTCACCAGTACTTTTCTAAAAATGTTGAGACCGAATATCAAACCATATTCACCATGTGGCCAAACCAGTACTGACTAGAATGACTCTTATGTAAAAGTGTGGCTTTGGGAGTCAGACATTGGCTCAAACTCCAGGCTATCCCCTGTGGCTGCCATTAGGCCACACCAGGAAAGACCTGGACAATCACCATGGAGCCTCAGGCCTGGAGCACAGCTACCCATGGCTCCCGAATGGACCAGGAGATTCCACAGTCCTGGAGTGCTTCACCTTCTATCATTTCACAGCGCTGTCGTACTAACTTGGAAAATAACTTATACACCTTATCCAGCCTCAGAGACTGGGAATTCACGATCTAAAAGGGGAGTGAAGTATCTTTGGGCTCTCTCTTTTCTCTCTTCTGGTATTCCTGATCTTGCTCTACCTTACCTCCCATTTTCATTGTACACCTGTCTTTCAAACAAGTCTAGCTGCTTTTGTCACACCTTGTGATTGCCCACAGTGCACTCTGTCTAGACCATCTGCCTAGTGCATTAACCTTCATTCTCTGGAAGCTGGGAATACCAAGATGAATGAGATACTCATGGCCCTCACCCTTAAATAAATCACTGTATTGTCAGCCTGGGAGACCTGGTCACTGAGGTACAGCTTAGATCATCTCTGTGAAGCCTGCCACCATCACCCCCAGTGCTCCTCCTAACTCTACTAGTCCTCTCTACCTGGAGCATGCTGTGTACATATTACTTTATACTGCAGTTATTTTATGATCTTATCTTAATTTCTTTTTAAATCATATACTCCATAAAAGCAAGGTCTGGTGTATAGCTGTATCCTCCCTGGTGGAAATTCAAGAAAGATGTGTTCAATTAGTGAATGAGCATTCAGCATACTTCAGGGTGCATGTATGTTGTAATGATGCAGAATGACTCAACCTAAGCCCAAGGGAGGTGGTATCTCTGGTACCTTGAGCCCACACTAACAGGACCTTCCAACCAAGCAACCAACCATCCATTTGTCATCCACCCAGTTTGGTTCATGGAGACCCCATGTGTTTCATTGTGGAACTGCCTGCCCTCCATTCGTTTTTCTTAGCTGTGGGCTTTTAGAAACATATCACCAGGAAACAGTCTCTAAAAGAGAGCGTATTGTATTGTATGCTATAGAACAAGCCTAGACCCTCACAGTGTCTACTAGACCTATGGGTTCAGAGCAGCACTACACTATAAGATTATGTTATCCTTTTTTATTTTTTGTTTTTAACATTTTATTGTGTTTTAGGTGAAAGTTTACATAGCAAATTAAGTTTCCCATTCAACAGTTTATACACAAATGGCTCCGTGACATTGGTGTCAGCATTCTGTCCCCACAATATGTCAGCATTCTCTCCTCCCATCCTGCCTTCACTGTTGCCATCCTTCAAGTTTCCCTGACCCTCTTTAGTTTGGGGCAGATGCTGCCTGCTTGATATGCTATAGCTGACTTTTCTATAGAGAACATTCCTTCTGGGTGTTATGGCTTATTTTATAGGCCAGTCTACTACTGTGTGGCTGAAAGGTGACCTCTGGAAGTGACTTCATTGCCAGATTAAAGGGTTTTAGGGTGATAGTCTCTATCAGCTCAGTAAGTCTGGTCTTTTTTGTGAATTTGGTTTTGTTCTATATTTTTCTCCCATTCTATTCAGGACCTTCTGTTGTGTCCCTGGTAGTAGTAACTGGACACCATCTATTCATAGTTCTTTTAGTCTCAGGCTAGAGGATGTTGTGGTTCATGTGGGCCATTATTTGTGGACTAATTGTTTCCTGGAGTCTTGGTTTCCTTCATTTTCCTTTGCTCCAGACAATAAGAGACCAATAGTTGTATCTTAGCTGGCCACTCATGAGCTTTTAAGATCTCAGATGCTACTCGTGAAACTAGGATGTAGAACTTTATCTTTATGAACTAGCTATGCTAATTGACTTAGATGTCCCCTGAGAGTTTGGTCTTTAGCCTTCAAGCCCAGTAACTCAGGCCCATAGGTGTTTGGATATGTCTAAGAATTTTCCATAACTACAGAAAACACATTCCTCACGTGCTATTATTTATTTTATAGGTCTTGGGTTCTCTATTATATATGTGAGTATGTATCTGTTTATGTAACCATTCATAAATTCTTGGTTGTTGTTTTAAATGTTACAGCATTTACTATAATTGTCTTTTATTCTTGTATACCTTTCAATGTCTTCTTTTACTTTGGTCACACTGTGCTGACTTCCCCTGTATTGTGAATTGCTTTTCCCTTCAACAGAATTGTCACACTTTCTATAAGTGATTCTCCCTCCATCCCCCACTCACCCTTGGTAACCATCAAACATTGGTGCTTTCTGTGTACAAACCTGTTCTTGACTTTTTCTCAAAGTGGTAGCATACAATATCAGTCCTTTTGTGATTGGATTGTTGCACTCAGCATACTGCCCTCCACAATCATCCACATTATAAGGTGTTTCACAGACTCATCATTATTCTTAATCTTTGCATACATAGTATTTGATCATGTGTATCGGGGGGCTTCTAAAAGTTCATGGAAAATTTCCCATTATCTTGCCATTCCATTTTTCCCATGAATTTTTTGAAGCTTCCTCTTGTACCATGTTTTATCTGTTCATCCACTGATGAACATGAATCTTATCCATGTTAATTCTAATTCATTCTCTTTCTTTTTCTTCTGCTCTTTCACTTTACCAAGATGCCTTTCTTTTAACCCCAAAGTGATTTTTTTTTTCCTTCGGGCCCTGAGGCACTTGTGATGTCACTTTGAGTATTTAAATGATTTCCTTTATGTTCTGCAGCATTCTTGAAGTTATTTGTGTGAACTTTCTATTTTCAGTATTTCACAGGAATTGGGGAAAATTGTATGTTGGCCTGAAATCCAGCCACATACATCGGCTACCTCAATGTCAAGTTCCTGTGCTGTGGTTAGACTCACATCATTGATGGCCTTATGCTGACTGAAGGGTCTGACTGGCATATATATGTCTTTGATAAAATTCGATAACTGAATTTTTCTCACCCGTAGTTTGTTTGTTAGATAATTTCTTTATAACAGGGTCTGTGGGGAAGACTCTGATGGGAAATTTGGGAAGGAGTGCCCTGTTTTCCATAGACCCCTTCACTAACTCTGGGCTCTCTCCCCGCTCTGTAGGTGGCAGGCCTTCAAGACCATGGTGTTGAAGCAGCGGGAGGCTGTGGACTCAGCCCTCCGAGTGCACAACTACTGTCTGGACTGTGAGGAGACCAGCAAGTGGATCGTGGACAAGACAAAGGTAGTAGAGTCCACAAAGGACCTGGGCAGGGACTTGGCAGGGGTCTTCGCCATCCAGCGGAAGTTGTCAGGGCTGGAGCGTGATGTGGCCGCCATCCAGGCCCGTGTGGGCAACCTGGAGCAAGAGTCGCAGCAGCTGATAGAGTCACATCCCGAGCTGAAGGAGGACATTGGCCAGCGACAAGCATATGTGGAAGAACTGTGGCAGGATCTGCAGCGAGCCCTGCAAGGCCAGGAGGCCTCCCTGGGGAAAGCCAGCCAGTTGCAAACTTTCCTGAAGAATCTGGATGACTTCCATGCCTGGCTGTCCATGGCCCAGAAGGCCGTGGCCTCTGAGGACACACCCGAGTCACTGTCAGAGGCCGAGCAGCTCTTGCAGCAGCATACAGCCATCAAGGACGAGATTGATGGGCACCATGAAAGCTACCAGCAAGTCAAAGCATCTGGGGAGAAGGTGATCCAGGGTCAGACGGATCCAGAGTACCTGCTCCTGGGTCAGCGGCTGGAGGGCCTAGACACTGGCTGGAATGCACTGTACCGGATGTGGGAGAGCCGTGGCCGTTCCCTCGCTGAGTGCCTGGGCTTCCAGGAGTTCCAGAAGGATGCCAAGCAGGCAGAAGCCATCCTCAGCAACCAGGTAGTGAGAGGGGGCATTCGGGGCTGGAGAGCAAGGGAGGCAATGAATGGTATGAGAGGCGAGTCTTCAGATGTTCTATTGGGCACAGGGACCAAATGGTACTTTCCTTAGACTTTCTCTGGCCACTAATTATGGAGGCCATTCTGTTGCTTATCATGTGCTCTTTTAGTCCTGGGTCCCAAACTATATATCCTATTTCGGGGCCAGTTAGAGTCAAAAGTGGTTACCTGCTATGTGGCTTTAGGCACACAGATTCATGGGACGCCGCCTAGGGGGCACCGTTCCTACTGTAGCTCCACCTGGAGGTGCCCTCACTTCCTTCTCATCCTGTCTTCATGCTTTGTTGGGAATCTTGCTTCAATAGGAATACACACTGACTCACTTAGAGCCCCCAGAGTCCCTTGAAGCTGCAGAGGCTGGGATCCAGAAGTTTGAAGATTTCTTGGTGTCTATGGAAAACAACCGAGATAAAGTGTTAAGTCCTGTGAAGTCTGGAAACAAACTGGTAGCTGAGGGAAACTTCAACTCAGACAAGATCATGGAGAAAGTGCAGCTCATTGAGGACAGGTACTCCCCTGCCCCCAGAGCCATAGAGGGCAGAACCCTGAAGCCAGGTTGCACTGTTGGTGCTACATGAGGCCCCCAGACTTGTACAATTGTGGCTGCGACTTCCCTTCCAGGCACAGGAAGAATGAAGAGAAAGCCCAGGAGGTCTTGGTTCTTCTGAAAGACAACTTGGCGCTACAGAACTTTCTCCAGAACTGCCAGGAGGTGAGGCTTCAGCCAGGCAAAAGCCATATTTCAAGAGAGTCTTTCAGGAGCAAAGTGCCTTAGAGGTGCTTTCTGGCTCTGGACTCCTGTGATGCCATAAGCCCTTGATGACTCTTTGATCTCTGGGCCCTTGATGACTCCTCTAGAATCTTTGAGTCTAAAATTGTTTTGTTTTGTTTTTTTCCCCAAAATCTGAATAATCAAACCTAGGACAGCATTTCTTTTCTTTTCTTTTTTTTAAGTTTTTATTGTGAATTGAGTGATAGTTTACATGGGAGAACATTGGTTTTACAGTCATTGTTTCATTGCAATGATTACAATCGCCTTTGTGTATCATCATTCAACAGTATTTGCTTCTATTCCCTCTGATTTTTTTTTTTTTTTTGGGGGGAGGGGGAGGTGATGTACACAAAAACACTCAGGAAACATTTAAACAACCAGTTAAATAATCATTTAAATAACCAAAGGGCACATTCTGCAACCCTGCCTCCTAGAAGCCAGCACATAGCCTTTCTCTTTCCATTAAGTCTAGAGTCCTCAGCTCTCCATGTCCCCATCTCTGCCTCTATCTCTGGTGTCACTGCTTCTCTGGATAGGGGCCCACATTCTGCTTGTGCTGTTCTCCCTTGATGGTCCTAGGGTCCTCTGTTCCTGCACTGTAAGATTAACTACTCCCCAATTTTTGTTTCAAAACTTCTATCTTTACAGTTGTGACAGTCAGTTAGTCATGATTAACAATTACTCACTATTGAATCATAAGAATCTTATCCTCATCTCCTTTTACCAGACCTGTCTAGATAAAATGAAAACTATTCAGTGGGGATTCTGCCTTCCCCTGCACTCTGAAACTAAACTCTCTCTTAAAAACTTGTAAGCCAGTCACTTCCCTCCCTTTAGGTAGCTAATGTCAAAGTTGCCCGTGTCTATCAACCCTGTATACAGAGGGGATAGGATTGATGCTTGATGTGGAGACTCCTTTCTTCTCAGTTGGTATTTGAGCTACTACATCTATAAGTATAGGTCAAGCTCATGAAATTGTAGCAATTTACACTTGTTTCCTTTATCAAAAAAAAAATTTTTTTTTAATCTTACTCTAGTCAAGTTCTGATCATCAAGCCATCGAAGCTAGGTTGAATGGGTATTATCTACAAGTTTGTGCATCTCCCTCACTTCATATCAGCTGGATGCTTTGCTCTCAGCTCTAGCGCTCCATGGCTATGTAGGACAGCATTTTTAAAGAGTGATCAGAAGACTGTTTATGTGGGAACCACATATAGTCTGGTCAGGGCTGACTTCATGGGTGGGGGGCCTGTGTAGACACACGGGGCCCTGTCCTGAGAAGGACCCTGCTCTTGGTTTAATGCTCTGCTGTCATTCTGACTCCTGTTGAACGTTTGTATTTTGCATCGTTGTTCTTGTTGTTATATGCCGTGGAGTCGGTTCCGACTCATAGCGACCCTGTACAGGGTTTCCTAGGCTGTAAATCTTTACAGGAGCAGAAATCCTCATCTTTCTCCCGCGGAACAGCTGGTAGTTTCGAACTGCCGACTTTGAGGTTAGCAGCCCAATTCATAATTACTATGTTACCAGAGCTCCTTAGAGCTCCTTTGTTGTTGTTAAGTGCCGTCGAGTCGTTTCTGACCCATAGCGACCCTGAACAGGGTTTCTGAGGCTGTAAATCTTTACGGGAGCAGAAAACCTCATCTTTCTCCCACGGAGCAGCTGGTAGTTTCGAACTGTTGACCTTGTGGTTCGCAGCCCAATTCATAACCACTACGCTACCAGAGCTCCTTTAGGCCCTGCAAATTAAGTAGCCAGTTCTGGCTCTAGTTAAATACATATTCTTAGGCTCTATTCAGGCCCAGATGAATCAGAATCTTAAGGGGTGAGAGAGAAAAATAATAGCATTTTAAACAGACCTCCTCTGTTTAAAGGAGGAGAACTGCTAACTCAGGGAGTCCTTGCTCAATCAGGGGCCAGCTGTGTAGAGAAGGCCTTCAATCTGTGCTCCTAGGCCCTTCCACCAATAGTACTTCCTGTGTGTGTGGAATAGGCTTTCCCTAACTGCTTTCTTGTTTTTATCTTCCTACCCCTTTCCTCTCAGCCCAAGAAACTTTGTTTTTATCTACCTCAGCCCCTGACACAAACCAGGCTTGGCATGGTGCCAAGACATCTTGGAAACATCGGGTGCTCATCACAGTTCTTCCCTCATTCTTAATTATAGGATCTTCGCATAACGTCTTCCACAGATAACATTTTCTCTATGTTTGTTAATGACTTCTCACCCTACTGCCAAAGAACGGATGTATTTATCCATCCAGTAAACACTCATTGGGTTCTTGCACTATGTCAAGACCTGTTCTAGGTTCTGGAAATATGGAGGAAATAATAAAATACCCCAGATCTCACACTAAACACACTCTGATGGGGAAGACACACCAGTGGCCATAATTTAGTCCTGGAACAGCGCAGGTTAAGCCGCCTGTGCTGGGAGTTAGGGACCCAGAGCTGGGAGTTAGGGACCAGAGCTGGGGATTAGTGCTCTCTTGTGCTCATACTTCCTCTTCTCAGCTCACTAAGTCATGTGACCTCTCCTTCTGTACCCAGGGGTGGATAGCAGGTCCTGCCCTGAGTACCAGGTCAAGGAGATACACTTGGGGATAATTAGACCTACTCTTTCTGCCCACAGCTCACTCTCTGGATCAATGATAAGCTGCTGACTTCCCAGGATGTCTCCTATGTTGAATCGCGAAACCTTCACAACCAACAGCTAAAGCACGAGGCATTTAAGAAAGACTTGGAGTCCCACCAAGGGTGGCTAGATAATATTGATGCTGTAAGTAAAACAAGTGATGGTGGGGTCTCAGCTCAGATATGTGTACCTGAATGGGGCTTCACCCAGGGTATTGACCCCCCCCCCCCCCCCCCCCCCCCCGCCCCATCCTGTAGCTTGCTGGACACCACAGAACTCCTCTAAAGAGTAATTAAAGTTTGAGAGTCTTGTTGCGCCTGGCTAGAATTGGTGACTCAGGGCAGGTTCTGAGTCTAGGCACAGTCTAGGATACTGAGGAGACCTAGCTAGAGCTTCAGGGTCCAGGGCCTCTTCACCAGGTTCCCATCATTGTCCTGCCCAGAGACAGGGGAATAATGAGGTGACCAGGGTGATCCTGGGGAACCAGAGACCCTCGCTGTATGGATGCGCAGAACCGCCAGGAATGTTCATGCACACCCCTCATAGATGGGGAACCTAAGGGCCGTCTTTAACAAACTTCCTCAGTGGTACAATCCAAAATGTGGCTGGAGTTAGATCAGGAATCCCATTCCTATGCTCCTTCTCCCTGTGGTTGTCCATGAAGAAGCAGGTACAAGGCCGTGTCACATAGTGGGTGAAGGTGCAGACTATCAGAGCTATCCAAATGATGAGGGTTAGTGGTTCCCCAAGATCACTCTGGTCACCTCATTATTACCTTGTCTCTGGGCAGGACAATGATGGGAAACTGGTGAAGAGAATGAAAGGCAAACCGGGACAAAACTTACTCTGTGTGTCTTAGTGTGGCACTGTAGGATAACCAAGGTTGGTTTGAACCACAAGGTCAGCAGTTCAAACTCACCAGTCACTCCTCAGAAACCCTATACAGGGTCTCTATGAGTCAGAATCAACTCAGTGGCATTTAACAACAACAACAATTGTGTGTCCCAGTTTCTTCATCTATAAAATGGGTAGTCATAATAGTACCTAAGGAGTTCTGGTAGCATAGTGGTTACTAATCGGGCTGCTAACCTCAAAGTCAGAAGTTTGAAACCACCAGCCATTCCGCAGGAGAAAGATGAGGCTTTCTACTCCTGTAAAGATTTACAGCCTCGGAAACCCTGTATAAGGTCTGAACTGACTCCACGGCACATAACCACGACCTATAACAGTATCTACCTGATGGCGTTGTGAGCACTAAATACTTTAAAGCTCTTAGAGCGTTGTTGTTGTTGTTAAGTGCTGTAGAGTCGATTCTGACCCATAGCGACCCTGTATAGGCTTTCCAAGGAGCTACTGGTGAGCTTGAAATGCCAACCTTGCGATTCAAATGACTTTGCAGTTTGGCGCATTAACCCACAGCGCCACACAATTATTAGGCATTCAATTAATATTAAGTATTATTATTAACATACATTCCAAGCTCTAAGTCGTATCACACCCAAAAGATACTTTTACACAGGTAATAATCAAACAAGGTAGCTTCAGAGATCACCTTAGTACACAACCTGTGGGAAGATGAGCAAGAGAGAATAGAACTGAGAGGTTTCCACACTGCATGTACTTGGGTGCTTCTATTTAGTACCAGCTGATCCTCGTCTAACAGCTTCTTATACTGCCAACCTCCTGAGCCATTTGCCCTAAACCCAGCTCTTCCTGCCTCCCCATCTATTGCAAATAACTCTGGGGGTGATAGGGTCTTTCAGTTGAGCCTCACCTTAGTTCTAGCAGGTTCTTTGCCTTACTGAGCTCGCCTCAGGGTACCACCTTGCAACCGCCTGGAGCAGAGCTGACTGAGGCCACCTTGGCCCCCAGAGAGTGAGCTCTCCTCCTTGCCCACACAGGAAGGAAAGCAGCTGATGGAAGAGAAGCCCCAGTTTGTACCCATGGTGTCCCAGAGGCTGGAAACCTTGCGCCAGCTCTGGGATGAGCTTCAGGCCATCACACAGAAGAAGGCACAACAACTGTCAGCTGCCCAGAGCTCCGACCAGCGCTTACAGAGCCATGCTGACCTCAACAAGTGGATCAGTGCCATGGAGGAGCAGCTGCGGTCGGATGATCTGGGCAAGGATCTGACCAGCGTCAACCGCATGTTGGTGAAACTAAAGGCACGCTCATGGGTTGTAGACTCAGTGTGAGAGCTAGAAGGGCTCTTGGGGAGGAATCCACAGCCTGGCAGTAAGCACTGCTTCTAGCCCTCTTGCTGAACTTGGTTTTACTTCATGCTGAAGTGTCTCTTCTCCAGCATCTGTGGGCAGGACAGGGGTACTACGTAGTTATAAAAGGGCAAGTGCCAGAGGAGGGCATGATAAGTGTGGGTATCGAGAAGGCTTCCTGGAGGGGGTGGAGCTGAAACTGGGCATTAGAGAATGGGTGAGGCACAGGAAGTGCAGAGGGAGGGGTTGCCCTGGTGCCAAGGCTGGTGCTAATCCCCTACCCCCTCCCTATGTCGCAGCGAGTGGAGGACCAAGTGAATGTGCGGAAGGGAGATGTGGAGAAGCTGTTTGCCCAGGTGCCCTCGGGAGAGGAGACAGAGGACACAGACGTGAGCATCGAGAAGCGGTTTCTGGATCTCCTGGAGCCCCTGGGGAAGAGGAAGAAGCAGCTGGAGTCATCTAAAGCCAAGCTGCAGATCAGCCGGGACATAGAGGACGAGACGGTGTGTAGGCTGCAGCTGAATGCCATCCAGAGCAGTTCTTGGTCATTTCACTCCCTTCTCAGAGGGATGCCATTACATTAAATATAAGAGTAAAATCCACGCTTTTTAAATGGCAAGTCACTTTGCCAACTTTGATGTTTACGAGCATGGTCATTGGACGAGGAAGACTTAGGTTAAGATGCAGCTCCACTATTCTGCCCTATGTGACCAGGAATGACTTATTTAAAACTACAGGTCAAAATACCAAAATATACCAATCTGTAAAATAGGGGCTAAACCCTGGCGGGTGGTTGGAAGGCACCAGGGAAACACTGTAGGCAAAACTATGACTGGCCCCTGGTGAGTTCATGGGAGAGGGTGGCCATTAGCCATCACCTTACCTTCTGGTCTTCACAGCTCTGGGTGGAAGAGAGGCTGCCGCTGGCCCAGTCAGCTGACTACGGCATCAATCTGCAAACTGTGCAGCTGTTCATAAAGAAGAACCAGGTGCGTCCTTCCTCACCTTCCAGCCTCCCTCACCCCCTCCTGGCTCTGCCCCAGCCCAGGAAGGAAAGCCCAACCGTGACCAATGCCATCAGACATCTCCCTAATTCCTGTTCCCGTTGGTAGCCATGGGTCCCCAAATGTGTTTGGAATCTCATAGCAGAAAGAGCAGGCTTTGGTAATTATAGAGAGAATTCTCAGAGGACCACAGAGGAGGGAGGGCACCACTTGGACTCCATATGGCACAGGTGAGTACGGGACCTGGGAGGCCTGCCTGGGATGTAATGTGCTTTCAAGCTTCTGAGTTTATTCACTGGCCTTGGTGAGAGGTGGCTGGCGATGCCTGGTTTCTCTTGTATAACATGCCTTGCCACTCTTCTAGGACTGAGCTTGGCATTCCGGGTATCCCCAGAGTAAGTAGGCACCATTTCTCTAGACACATGAGGAGCCTTGTGGGCCTTAAACTCTAATGCTGTTTTTAAGTATCATCGAGTCTGTTCTGACTCACAGCGACATTGTATTTCTGAGGAGCGACTGGTAGATTTGAACCACCAACCTTGCAATTAGCAATCTAGAGTTTATCCTACAGTGCCACACCAGGACTCCCAAACCAGGAAGCCATTAAACCTTGGACTTTGAGGCCTCAGAGCAGACACGCTCTGCTTTCCCAATTGGGAACTGCCTTTTTCCAAATCTAGGAAATGAGTGGATGCAGGCACTTCTTCTTCTATCAGGGTTGCAGTACCTTCCTGCCCAACCAGGAGGCTGCCAAAGACCCCCTCTCTTGGGCCAAGTGCCTCCTGTCCTTCCTGGTCTATTCTCTGGACCAGGAAGTGGAGGCAGCCCTGTCCTGAGCAAGGAGAGCCTGGGGTCTGAGAGCCCAGAGGAGAGCAGAGTGCCAATCAGCATGCAGATCCTGAGGGAAGGAAGGTCACTACAGATAGCTCTTCCTTCCCCAACACCTGCTTGCAGAGTCTTCACTGCCCAGCAAAGGGTCTGAATTTTTTCAAAGAGCTCCATCAGACCCTTCACTTCTAGTCAGGATCCAGTGAGGGACCATAGTCAATGAATGGCAAGATATGCACGAGCTGGCCTAGAGAGTGGTAGAGGGGGCTCAGTTAGCACCGCAACCTTCAGTTAAAGGGCAGTGCCCTTTAGAAGAGACCTCAGTTTCCTCAGAGTCCTTGTGACTCTGTGTAACTTCACATGTTTCAACTTCCCTGATTGGACGTGACTCTTTCAGGAATCGAGCAAGGCCTGGATGGGATTCCCCTAGCCAAGATGGGAAAGGCTACCCTAGTAAAGCCTATTTTAGACTAGCATGGCTAAAAACAGTCAACTGATAACATTTCCTCACTTAAACCCCCTCTTGCAGTAGTTCTCAAACTTCCACGTACATCAGATTCATCAACAGGTTTGGTAAAATGCAATTGAGTAGGCTCCACCTGAGATCTCCTGATCCACGGCTGGGGCCTAACTTATCTTTCTAACAAACTACAAGGTGGTGAGGGTGCTAATGCTGCTGGTTGGGAACCACTACCCTACGGGGGTCTCTGTTACAATCAGAATCAAATCCTGCAAGGTGATACAGCAGTGGGTCACAAGGCTGCACTTTAGGACCTGGGGACCTTTTAGACATATTAATGCCCAGGCCCCACCTCACATCCATTAATTTAGCATTTGGGGGTGAAGGTCTTGGCTCTGAATACGTGTGTGTGCATGTGTGAAAGATTCACAAACTACTCAGTGTGCAACCACTTTCCTGTTTGATCTAGCCCCTGCCTACCACTAAATTTCATCTCTAATCATTTTCACTCCTTTACAATATTCCAGCGGCTAGTTCCTATGCCAGGACCTTTGCACCTGCTCTTTGCTTCTGCCTGGAATACTCATTCCCCAGATCTTTGTGTGGTTTCCTCCCTTCTCCATTCGTAATTCATTCATATGTGATCTCCTCAGAAAGGCCTGCCTCCCCCTGCTACGGGAGCTCCCCACACACACACACACACACCTGGGCAGGTAGTCTCCATTCCTTTGTTGTGTCTTCCTGGTGACACCCATTGTCTGCATTTATTCATTCATGAGTACCCTCTATGCCCTTTACTCCAGTGTAAGCCTCAGGAGGCCAGGGCCTTGGTTGATCTTATTTCTATATAGTCCTGGTGTGGCTCTGTGGGCTGTTTGAACTGCAGGGTCGGTGGTTCAAGCTCACCAGTTGTTCCTTGGAAACCCGATACAGGGTCACTATGGGTCGGAATAGACTCAACAGCACCTAACAACAACAACAACATTTTCATATAGTTCCCAGCACCCAGAAAGGGTCCAGCACATAGACAGGAACTTCATAATTATCTTTTAAATAAATAAAGTCAGGGAAGAAGAAATCCTAACTAAGCACATTTCACAGGAGACTAGAAAAGAATTGGACTCTTGGTGTGGCGCTGTAGGGTAAGCACTGGACTGCTCATCACAGGTTAGTGGTTCAGGCCAACCAGCTGCTCCTCGGAAACCCTATCCAAGGTTATGAATTGAAACTGACTTCACAGCATTCAACAGCAACAGAAAAGAATTGCTTAAAAAGAGAGAGACAAAAACATATTTTTAGGGTACCCTGAAGAGGTCCCAAGATCTCAGGAAAGTGAGGAGGCAGATGGTGGTAACATTACGAATGGTTGCCTGTAACTGCAGAGACCACAGGAAACCGTCAAAATCAAGATTCAGAGCAGAGAGTGTAGAAATGCCCATGAGCAGGTTGGGTGCCTTGTGGAGAGTACTATTTAATAAGTACTTAAAGTGCTGACCGCCACTGTTTTCCCATGTGGACTGCCCTTGCCCTGCCCTCCAGGCAGTTCTGAAGATCTGGGGAAATTATACAATAGAGGACATAAGGCATAAACAGTCCAAGGGTCCACATGGAAGAAGCAAGCAGGCCTGGGCCTCTCGGACCCAGAAAGTGAGCATCACGTGTGTCGAGTTCTCCTGAAGAAAGGTGACCCACTCACCAGAGTGGGAGGAAAATGTTGTTTGTATGACCACAGGCTGAAACAGGAAACAGTACATGCAGAATATACCTCAGCAAGATGTGAAAAATAGAAATGGTGGGAGAAATCTCAATTCTGAACAATGGCAAATGTCTACTGTTCCTTTAGATGGAGCAAAAGTTGCTAAAATGAGATTTAATCATAAAGGGCCATTTACAAATTAACTCTCCTTTCCTCTCACAAATACACTTAAAAAATCAAGCCAGAGTAGAGGAAGAACCAGTAGTAAAACCAAAGCACCGGCTCTGGGATCGGGTGGAGCTGAGTTCAAGTCCCAGCTCTGTTACTCTCTGACGGTTTTACTTCCGCACCAAATTGCCTCTTCTGTGAAGTTTCCACAGAACGTGAGGCTAAGTGAGGGTAAAGAAAATTATGCTTGTGAAGGGCTCAGGGTCTGGCCCATAGTCCTCATCACCTCCCATAACAGGGAGGAGGTAGGTGGAGGTCTCCCTGCCCAGTGAGGTGGGAAGGCCCTACCTCTGAGCCCTTCCTCTCCCACTGCAGACGCTGCAGAACGAAATCATGGGTCACGAACCTCGGATCAACACAGTGCTACAGAATGGGCATCAGCTGGTGGAAGAGGCCGGGACGGACTGGGGGGATGTTGAGGAACGCCTGAAGCACCTGCAGGGCTCATGGGACACACTGCGGGAGGCAGCAGCCGGGCGTCTGCAGCGTCTGCAGGACGCCAACGAGGCCCAGCAGTACTACCTGGACGCAGGCGAGGCGGAGGCCTGGATCAGCGAGCAGGAGCTCTATGTCATCTCCTATGAGACACCCAAGGTCCGCCGGGCAGGGTGCCAGCCGGGGTTCTGGGCCCAGAGGGAGAACTGTGTGTGGGCAGTCAGTGTAATCCTTCTAGTCCAGGAGGGAAAGCCTTAGGACCGGGGGAGGGTTGTGTGTGGGGAACCCCAAGAGTCCCCCAACTCCCCCTTGGCTCAGCCTTCTCAGGATGTCCAGTCTCCTTGAGAACATGCCCTACAATGCACATACTCAATGGCAGCTTAGATTTGCTGTAACCCACGGTTCTTCCCTATTTTGTGTGGTGGTATCTACATGGGTGTTCTTTTGTCGAGGGGGTGAGAGGTGAGACAAGAGGGTCTCTAAAAGACCCTCTTGGGTCTTGGAACAGCCAGGAAGGTTAGAGCTAGAAGGAAGGGAAATTGGGGTATTGAGGGAGGAGGGTAGTTACAAACATTGCTGAGAGGGAAGAGAAGAGGAAGGAAGTGAACAGGCATGATTTTCCTGGAGAGACCCTCTGAGCCTTGCTCTCCTGCCCACCTGAGGTATCCACAGGAGCTGGACTGTAACTCCCTCCACCTGGGCCAGGCTGAGCTTGCAGCCACTCACATATTGCTGCTTCCTAGGATGAAGAGGGCGCCGTTGTGATGCTTAAGCGGCATTTGCGGCAGCAGAACACTGTGGAGGAGTATGGGAAGAACATCAAGGAGCTGGCTGGCCGGGCCCAGAGTCTGCTGTCTGCAGGCCACCCAGAGGGGTTCGTGTTACCTCCTGCGGCTCGGGTGCCACCCAATATCCACTCCAGTCAAAGTGGGGAATGTGGTGCGACCGTGTATCCCAAAAAAAGGAATTTGAGAATACACTGTTTTCTAATGACGTGGTTCCATTTTATGCTTTGGTTGTGTGCAAGTAATTTCAAGATGGGCAGGCTACAACCTTGACTAAGATCCGAGAATGAGATAGCAAAACTAAACCACCCTCTTGGTTAACCAAGAATTCCAGTCTCTCAAAGAGGTAGAATTTGCTGTGAGACCCTGAAAACGATTTTTACTTTTCTTTTTATGGTCCAGAGGTACTTCAGGACTCATAGTGTCTCAGTAGAATCATTATTTCGTGGAAAACATTACAGGGTGGAGAACATTACAACTCATCTAAACTATTCAGTTGATTGAACTCTGCATAAATGAAAGCCCAGCAGACCAGACACCTCATGCAGTCTCCCAGTCCTGCCCTGTCATTAGGGCACCCAAAGTCCCTGAAACAACTCCCAGGAGATCCCCCAAGACTGAGGCCTGGCACTGCTTCTCCTTCCTCAAGAGCTAACCAGGCCCCCCTGCTTCTGAAGCCCTGTGCTTAGATGGTGCTGCGCCCTCAGCCTCCCCAAAGGGATAACCAAGCAACTCACCATTCACCCTTTTCTCTGTAAGCTTCCCAGAGTGAGGGAGAGGTGGGAGGCACCAACTGCAGGAGGGACAGAATGACGCATTCTGTCATTCTGTCGTCTGCTGAGGCATCATGGTCTAAGCTACAAATTTGAGCTGACAGAGGGAGCCTGGCCTTCTCACTCCAACTCTTCCCCAAGGAAAGTTATTCCCATTGCTCATATCCTTCACCCACCCGCCAACCCCCTACCGCTGCCACAGGCTGCAGGGAGGAGCCTGCTGTTGGATTCCTAATTTCATTGCTGAGGACTTTTTCTTGGTTTGAATTCCAGGGAAGAGATCATCAGACTCCAGGGAAAAGTAGACAAGCAGTATGCAGGACTGAAGGATGTGGCAGAGGAACGTAGGCGGAAGCTGGACAACATGTGCAAAATGTTCCAGCTGAAGAGGGAAGCAGATGACTTGGAGCAGTGGATTACGGAGAAGGAGCTAGTGGCATCTTCCCCAGAGATGGGGCAGGACTTTGACCACGTTACTGTGAGTAGTCACAGCTGCAGCCTTACTTGTCTACCTCTAATGCAGTAGACTTCTGGTGTGGCACTGTGGATTAGCACTGGACTGTGAACCACAAGGTCAGCAGTTCAAACCCACCAGGCACTCTTCGGAAACGCTGTACAGGGTCACTATGAGTCGGAACTGACTCAATGGCACTTAACAACAACAACAATGCAGTTAAGTGTTTGACTGCTAACTAAAAGGTTAGTGGTTTGAACCCATCCAAAGGCACCTTGAGGAAAAGTCATAGCCTTAAAAACCCTTTGGAACGCAGTTCTACTCAGCTGCACATAGAAGCATCATGAGTTGCAATCCACTCAACAACTGAGTCATTTTCATTAGCAGTTTTCAGTGCTGCAGATACAAGCCAGCCATTGTTCCAGACACACACACACACACACCTGTCAATTGCAAACTGTGGCACGGAGATGCCGTCACACTCCAGTTGCATATGACCTTTGCACTCCAGGCCTGTCAGGGAAGGTGTGAGTGCAAGGCTGTGGAGGTCCCCGAGTAAAGTCTCCAGCTAGACTAGGTGGACCCCAGCCCCGCTCCTAGGCCCTGGTTACCACTTTTCTTTCTACCCCCCATCCAGCTAGACTAGGTGGACCCCAGCCCCACTCCTAGGCCCTGGTTACCACATTTCTTTCTACCCCTCGTCCAGCTAGACTAGGTGGACCCCAGC